CTATCCATAATATTATGTTAAAATAGTGGATGTTAAATAGGTTTGGATAATAAGTCCAAACAAGTCCAAGCAAGAGGATCCGTCCCTCCATCAGAGCTGGTTCAGTTCTGGAACCAGAGTTTTTCAGGCCCAGCTCTTCTTCTTCTTCTGTCCTCCTCTGGTCCAGTTTCCAGATGTTTTCAGGACTCTGAGATCTGCCCAGTTTTAATCCTTGTTTTTGCTGTATTTTATGCTGTTTTTGCTTTAGTATTTGGTCATTTGAGCTCTATTTTCGCTTTATTTTGGTAATTTCAGCTCCATTTTTGCTTTATTGTGGTCAGTTTAACTCTATTTTTATTTATTTTGGTCAGTTTTGCTTTATTTTTGCTTTATTTTGGTCAGTTTAGCTCTATTTTTGCTTTTATTCTAGTATATTTGGTCATTTTAAGCTTTGTTTTTGCTTTTTTGTTGTATTTTTTTGGTCATTTTCACACCCAGTTCTTCTTCTTCTTCTGTCCTCCTCTGGTCCAGTTTCCAGATGTTTTCAGGACTCTGAGATCTGTCCAGTTTCCAGCTAGCAGCTCTTTAGGAAAAATCAGAAATCCTGTTTCCTGTCTGTCAGAATCTGGGTTTTCTTTGGCCTTTTTTTCCTCCATCAGCTCCAGAAATGGACACAGAGGGCTCATCCCTTGAGTTAGGGGCCTTTTTCTGAATCAACAAAGACTAAAAACGGACTAAAAATGAGTGAAAAAGTAGAAAACTTCCAAACAAAAACTCAGATAAAGCTCAGAAATCCTGGATCAGAGTCACCAAAGAACCCTTAAAGAACGTTTGAGGGAAAATATGAAGAAATTAAAGGTGGCGGCAGACTTTTTAAAGTAATCTTTATGCTTCTGATCCACCTTAAATTGCTGTTCTTCTGATTGGACAACGCTGGCTCAGCCCTTGAGTTAGGGGCCTTTTTCTGCACATTCCTCTGAAAACACTTTAGAGGTTCCAGGAGAGAAAACAGGAGTTTGCAAACGCTACAAAAAACCATCACGAATGGAGAGGATCACCAGGAGCCGAGAGATTAATCAAATATCATCGAAAAAGGCCTTAAACTCCCACCAAATATCCACCAATCACGTTAGACTTTCACCAACTCTACTAAAAACTCCAGAACTGAAGTTAAACCAGAACCGAGAAAAAAAAAAAAGACTTTCTAGAGGATTTTCAGATTGAAAAGAACAGAAAAAAAGCTTGTAAAGCTCGACTTCGTTTCCAGATAAAACATTTCTGGCTCTTTGTTTCTAGATAAAGATTTTCTGACTCTTTAGATG